TCTGCGATACTGTGGTCACTCTCCATGTGGCATCAATTATGCTAATGCTAGCTGCCTGTCACATTCTCTCGTCCTGGCCACACCTCCGCTCTCTAACCCCCCACCCCCACTACCCACTTTGATGCATTTTTCAAATTTCGCCTTGGAGCGGAGTTATCTTTTCACAGGGTGGGTAAGATACACTTTAAGACACAAACATGTGCACGCTTATTTCCAGGGTTCCTGCGGATCCTTAAAATGTCTTGAAAGGCATTGAATTTATCAGTCCAAATATGAGGTCTTAGTTAGCTTTAAAAGGTCTTAAATCAATCGTTCAGAAGTCTTAAAATGTAAGTAGGATGATTGTAATTCCTCTCAAATATTAAAAGAATTGGTAACATTTATTTATATTTTTTAAATAATTTGTTGAATGCCCCTCACAGCTAGTTGTTTTGTATAAAAAAAATTGGCTAAAATTGTTGCTGTTTTTTTTTCCATTTGTGTTTATTGTGATATTGGTCTTAAGTTTAATTTCAAGAGGCATTAAATAGGTCTTAAAAAGTCTTAAATTTAGCTTGCCTCAAACTGTAGGAACCCTGATTTCTGGTCATTGCACGCTTAATATTGTTTCTACACGTCCTGTTYAACATCTGTGCAAAACAGGCATCGTATTGAGCTAAAAGCAATTTAGTGAAACCGACACTGCAGCGTGGAAGAAAGGATTAGACGTTATATTCATTATTTAGCTGCTCTTCATAAATACTTGATAGGACGAAGCTCATCTTACCCCCGATCCATTCAACTCGCATCCTCTCACTGTTGCCTAGGTGTGCTCAGTGGATCTAATTCTCTCCTCTCTGCTTGATGTTGTGTTTTTTCAGTCATGGTTAAAGAAAAAAGCAGCTCCAAAAATACAACCTCAGATGAAAAACACTCTGACAAACTGCACCCTAACATTTGCTAAACCAACAAGAAAAACTGTGAAAACCTGAGTACTGTTGTCTTTAGCTTTAGAAGATAAGTTATAGCTAATTACTGAGAAAATAAAACGTAACCATGGCTTGTTTTGGAGGTTTTCCAGGGACAAACAACGTCAACCCAGCTTAGGTTTGTCAAGTCTGAACCATTCACAATGTTTTTTTAACAGAGACCTAAATGCAGACTACATGTGGTTAGGGGTAGGGTTAGGGTYAGGCATGGTGGTGGAAGTATGGTGATTCTTGCTGGTTTTGCAACAGAAGGGACGAGCAACAAAGGAATGAAAGAGCAYCCATCTGTAAAATCCTTTATGTGATTTAAATGTTTCAAGAGACGTTAGCAATGCAAACCAGAATATCCATATATCCAAATGAACTTAACTCATTTTGTAAAGAACGTATCTTATACATCAATCTTTGTGCTGTTTCAACAATTGATATGTCCAAATGTTCAGCTCTTTAAGGATGTTCAGGCTATGACCTCTGGTACACCAGCAATTTATATTTTTTCAGATATTTAGCTTTTTCTGCCATTTTGTTTCTCATTGAAAATAAATGGAGTTTTCTTCAACATCTTTAAAACCATTCAACTTGGTCCTAAATGTTTACTGAACATTTATTTTGTTCTGGTTTTGCTTTCTTTAACTGCTTTGAACTTATTTCAGATTACTTCAGCTTCTGTTCAGTTGATTTTAGAATTTTCTGCTTTTTTCATCATTCTGACCTACTCTTCTGCTAACTGAAACGTTTTCTTGCTTTTTTCTGCTAATTTAAAACTTCCTTCTTCTTTTAGCTGTTTTCTGGTAATTTCAGCCATTTTCTATGATTTTAGACACTTTTTAGCTAATGTCAGCTAATTTCAGATTTTTTTCAGCTAAATTCACCTTTTGTGATATTTTCAGCTTCTTAATTTTCAGCAARCATGTTTTTTTCTATTTCTCTGTGCTATATCAGCTGTTTTAGCAACTTATCATTTTAGCTACTTTTACACTAGTATCAGTTCTTTCTTTAGCTATTTCAAAACAGATTGCAAGTTTTTGTCTTTTTTTCTCTTGTTTTTATTATTTTTTTATATCAGTTGAAAATTGTCACTCTCATTTTCCCATGTGGTTTCATCTACTTTTAGCTTTTTTGCAAATTTTAGTAACTTTTTTGGCTCTTTTCAGATTTTTGGGCATTTTTTGCTATCTTCTCACAGATTTTTCAGTTGCGTTGTCTCATACTTTCAATAAATTTAGCTTTTCTAATTTAACTTGCATTAACAGTTTTGCTATTATATACTTTTTCAGCTTGATTTCAGCAGTTTTCAGCAAAAAAAAATCTGCCAGCGTTAAGCATTCGCACAGCATTTTCTCAGGAAATGCAATTTTTCCAGCTTAACAGGTAATCAAACTATGATTAGTTCATTTGCTGTGAAGGGGTGAGTTTATCTTCCCCTCAGAGAGCAGCTGATTGGACGGAGAGTCCATTTCCAAGCAATTAGATCCTCTTGCCTTTTGTCCACAGTAACCAGAGTTCCACCTCTCTGCGTCCTTTTCTGTCCACTCTGGCACTAGAAAACCCTGCAGAGACCACTAAAATGGGTCAGGCCAGCGTCAAAACAATGTGCTGTTTGTTGAGGGCTTATTGTGCAATATGAGAGATGGCCAAAGTGAAAATGAGACAACATGAATGTCAGAGCAAAGCAATTGTTGCCAAAACAGGGAGATGAATGAAGCACAGTTGGAGTCTGTAYGAATCTGGACGCAGGTAAAAAGAGAAGGGATGGAAGCAAGCAGAGAGCAGGAGATTACAGCCAATACCTCCTCGTGGTTTTTCTTGAGGAAGTARAGCTCCTCTTTGAGGCTGTCCAAATCCCCTCTCAGAGAGGCGATGATCTGCTCGTGGTCCGTCTTAGCCTTTTTCAGAGCGACGCAGTCCCTTTCCACAGACTGACCCATCACCAGCTCCGTCTCCCACCTCGTTAAAGTTCACAAATTGCAACAAGATTAGGTATAAGGTTTATTTCTGCTGTTAGAATGGATTAAATGRGTCTAAACTGTTAATAAGATACAATGACCTGCTTCTAATCTGCATCATTTGCAAAATAATGTCAGATTAAAACCAAAATGCACTAAAATATAGATTTGATCTGATGTAAATATATCAAATTCATATAGTTTCTCTAGTAGAAAAAATATACATTAATACATTTATTTTTAGCATTTTAGCTGATCAGATATCAACATATAATAAACTCGCTGCAGAAAATATGTTAAAGAAAATACATTTTCCTACAACCTGCGCTAAACATCTACTTTAGTACAGTTTTTTGCATGGATCCCCATATTAGTCTTGTTCACTACGGACCAATGCCTTTTTCTTACTGTCCTTATCATCCCTCCTTACAATTCTGCAGGGAAAAAATCTTGAAAGAGGATAAACTGATCAATTTGCACAGGTTGGCTGGAGAGCTTCACCAAATTGTGCATAATRGCTCCAGCAGCTGAAAGCTAATAAATAGGGGTGCAACRATACAGCAAATTCACAATTCGGTTCAATACTCAAATCTCAAGGTTCGATATTATTTTGATACACAAAAAGAGAAAYTTCCATGCCCTTTTTGAATTAAATTTATTGAAATTCATTACGAACATTTGTTTAACCTCAAAAGTGCTTTTTAAATTAAAAGTTGCTGAAACAGCAAGTTTCTCAGTGGATCTGCGCTGGAAAATACAGCCTAGGTGGAGTAGTCAAACACAGATCCATTGATTCTTATAATCAGAGCAACTTCAGAAGACAAGAAGATAAATTAAATTTTAAAAATCTGTATTGTTCGATACATAGTGTGTACTGAACCTAAAGCTCTGTATTAAATGTTTCGATACAGGTACATGTATTGTTGCACTCCTACTAATAAATTAACATGTTAATGTCACTTTATTACAAAAAAAACCCTGTCTACTCCTCCTTGTGTCATTATTTATCACTCACTTGATTCTGAAGTCATCAGCAGCCAGTTTAGCATTATCAATCTCTAACATGAGACGAGCGTTTTCCAAGGTCTTCTTCCTCACCTGATAAACATTAACAGCAGTTAAACACGGCTCATTAGTGTTTAAGTCACATCATTCTTTTATGTGTGATCTGCTACGATAATAGCCTTTATCACACATAGTCCTTCTGTTAAAATAACCATTTACCAAGTGTTGGTACACATTAACCCAGCTGCCATGTTCACATCTAATTCTGTTTGTTACTACATGGTGATCGCCCGTGTGGGAGCAAAGTTTCTGTCAGGACAGCTTGTGTAACGTGCGACCCCAGGCCTCTTCATCCCCACCTCCTGCTCCACAGCGTGGGCCTGGGCCATCATGGAATCCAGGTCATGACCTTTGGGGACGCGGTCCAGCATCAGCTGCTTGATTTTCGTCTCCAGGTCGGCGTTGGAGCGCTCCAGTGAGCGCACCTGTGGGAGATAAAGAGGAAGAAGCGTTTCAGGTTACTGCGAGCCGAATCCGTTTCCGTAACAACGCAGGACTCTTAGTGGACCTTGTCCAGGTAGTTGGCCAGGCGGCTGTTGAGGCTCTGCATGGCCTCCTTCTCGTTGGTGCTGTTGCCATGCAGGCCGTTCAGCTGGAGGCTGATTGGCCCGTTCAGATCCTGGCCGATGGAGGCTGAGCGACTCAGCGGGCTGGCGGCCACGAAGGAGACGGAGGCCCGGGAGCGAGCCCTGCTGGTGTCCATCAGGGAGCGGCTGGAGAAGGAGGGCTGACGGTTCATGGAGAAACTTCTCACCGAGATGCTGGAGGCCATGATGGTTGGCTGTGAGGGTGGAGGGCACAAAGATTAATCCAGGGGATTTTTCTCCACGAGCTGAGCCACACGATCATTCTGCACAACTTCAAAAATTTGACCTCTTTTAGTCATTTAAAGCTAACGTTACATGAGATCTGATTTTAGAAAAGGCTCTTAAGCAAATGTGCTTTACCGCTGCATTCTGCCAGCCTTTTAATGGAAATACAAGTAGGGCCTAATAGCCAATTCTGCAAATCGTCCACTAAAAATGATGAAAGGAGTCTTTCAAAGAGTGTATTTACAGCCGGCTAGTGGCCATTCAAMCTAACCATCTGCATCGGAGAGATGACTGACTTTATGGTCGGAGCCACTTCAACGTGTCGCTCTCAGCTCAGTGCAAATACAGCTTCGACTGCTGCCAGCATGAAATCAAAATGTAAATGACCACGGCTTGGCTGTGAGTCCAAGAAGAGCCTCTCAGGGAGGCTAAAAACACTCTCACTGTCTTTTTACTATGATAATAAGATTTGCTTCAACATAAAACCCTTTTATAAAAGCAGGAGGAGAAGCAGCAAACAGCAGTTAATGAGGATAATTGAATAACGCCTGTATTTACTTAAATGTATCTTTTTTTAAGAAACAGGTGTACAGGAAGCATGACTAATTGTTTGGAAGACAAACACAGTTAAAGACAGCACAGCTTTGTCCTTGTGAGAGCGACTGATCAGCGGTCAGGTGGAACCTCTCGGTGTCTCCGTCACTTGATCCTCGCCACACCGTTCCCACCGCACTACAAAGGGACCCGGCAGGAGACAGGCGGCCCTTGTTCAGATGAAAGATACTGCTTGGGAAAATGATCTAGAAAAAATATTCAGAGGGAATTCCAGCGACAGACACAAGGAGACACTTTGTTCAGCAGGAAATGAGCTGTCATTTCAGCTTTTCCTATTATCTCATTTCCAGCTGACGAATGATAACTAAAAAAAAAAACTCTAATTTTGTTCTAGATTAGGGAATAATTGCTCCATAATTCTAACCACTGGTGTTTATTGAGAAGCAAAAGGAAATTAAATTTATAATAAAGAAAAAGTACATTTCCTACCAGGCTTTTTGTTCAGATAAGATGCGAGGCAGATGAATGCAGCAGCTTCTGTGCTGCTGATGCTACAGGTGTGCTTATATGCAAGGTGTGTAGGAAGTGGGAGGAGCTACTCTGCAAAGAAGGTGTGCTCATCTTACTACACCTGAAGGCTCTCAGAAAAGTCTTGCAATGAAAAATTGTTTTGTTTAAAGACGTTAACACGATGCTCAGGAAATAGATCATTTGTCTTTACAAAAAGTAGATTTACTGTTTTTATGAACAAGTTGATTCAATTTTTAGCGTTTTAGTTGTTTCATTTGACAAACAGAAGCAGCTGTCCATCAGTTTATGACTCGTCTCTAATCAGCAGATGTCGGCCGTCAGGATCCCTCCTGTCCTGCAGTCACTCCTCATGTCTATAACTTAATCCTGTGTTCCACCTGCTGCTGATAAAATATTCAACAACTTACTCCAAGAAATGAAGAACAGCCTAGTAGTGACCAGCCTGCTCTATGTACACACTTTTATCGATAATAGTTGGATTTTTTTTTAAATTACAGATTTATAAGGTTTTATTCTTTGGGTGAACAGGTGAGAATTTTATTATTAGTCACTCATTAGCTCAAAATGTAAAAAAAAAAAGAGTGTGAGTGCGTGGACGGGTATTTGGACCATTTTAAGAAGAAACACCTAAATGTGGGGACCACTGGTCCATATGGGGAYCTAAGCAGAGTCYTCGTTTGGTTTGAAAGCTGTTGTCTGGATGAGGGTTATGTTTAGGATCAAGGTATGAATTGAGTTTAGGTAAGTGTTAGGGTCAGGTAGGTACCTGTGAGGTTAGTTTTGGGGTAGATGGTCAGGGTTAGGATATAAAATTTCCAAAAAATGAATGGAAGTTAATGGACGGGCCCCAAAATGATAGAGAGACATAGTAGGCGTGTGTATGTGTGTGTGTGTGTGTGTGTGTGTGTGTGTGTGTGT